TTGCAAACAATCGAACCAAACTCGAAATGAATCAATTTCATACAAAATTTTTTCAAAATTATTCAATCCTAGAATATCAATTCTCATGAAGAATCTCTCCAAATCTATATAATAACCTATAAAATCAAACCTAGAATTTTAAATAACCAAAAATTTACTTAAGAGAACGTATAGAGAGGTGTGTATAGTCTGAAACTATTTGGTGACAAGTGAGGAGTCTAATCAATCTGAACTAAGGTTAGTTAATTCAACTTTTCAAAAAAAGAGCTTAAAAATCATAAGAAATTCAAGTTAATTGACAATTTGTTAGAACCTATAATGAACTAAGCTAGAGTCAAACTCGAGTAGCTTGGATCTTTTAACAATCAAATTCGATAACACCTGTGTTGTACATTGATGATGTATAAACTAAAAGTGAAACATAATCTAAATGTATGCATATGTTATTCAAACTGAGACATAAGATCTGGTAAATTATCATGTAAAAGCTAGTCAATGAACAAAAGGTATGCACGATTTATAGTGGTTCGCCTGTGTGGCTAATCCACTCGAGTGAAGTCTCTTGCTCCGGGGAGGGGGAGTTATCTTATTGCTTGTTAAGAATAACTGTGTTACAGATTGCCTTTTCTGGTGAAGGCTTTGAATATTTATAAGCTGATGGTCGTGTCTTTCCTTGTCATCCGGGATCTTTTCCTTGGGTGATTGGTAGGCTGTTAGAGTGAATCTCCTCTAGACTGTTGGAGCGCATTCCTCCGTGATTGTTGGAACCTGTTTCTCTATAACCACAGGCATATCATTTCTTCTCTATCGTTGGGGGAATGCTATTGGAACCTAATGAGTCCATGGATATAGAAATAGCCTTAGCTAGATACTATTAGTCCTTAGTTTTATTTATTTCATGCACTCATTTTCCTGTACTTCTTTGGCCATAAAAAAAATGGGAACTAATCAATGTAATTATTGAATTGAAAGTGGCAAAAAAAAAAAAAAAATGGGAACTAATTCAATGTAATTATTGAATTGAAAGTGACATCCACCTGATATTAAATTCATAATTAATTTTTTAGAAACCTATACACTTGTCTATAACTTATTTGACTTTAAATATAAACTTTAAAAATATTTGACAAATAGTACACTTTAGAGCAGAAGGACTAAAGTACACCTAACCATCATCACATCACTATTGAAAAAATTAGATAAGGAAACTAATTAATTTGAAAACTAAAACTCTTAATTTTAGAGTTTTCTTTTATTATAACTTTTTTTCTTTCTCTCTCTTTATATCTTATATATATATATATACACACACACATACATAGTTAAATTCAAAACTTAAATAAATTTTAAATTTATTAATTTGAAAATTTTTCCAATTCTTTCTAAAATTCTAAAATTTTAGGATTTTCTTATATTAGAATATATTTTATCTCTCTCTCTCATATATATATATATATATATATATATATATAATTGTGACCAAAATAAAACTAACGCAAAATCAAAATTCTTTAATTTTAAATATTTTCTAAGTTAAGGACTATTTTTTTCTCTCTATTTATATATTTTTGTGATAAAAAAAATTGTGACATATACTGTGACGCCAATGTCACACTGCTTGTGGGTCACACCGTGGGCATCACAAATGTGACATTAATGTTACACTACATATATACACTACACATATGGATATCACACTATGACTCACATAAAGATTAAAAACACATGGTGAGTATCAGTGTGAATATAATGTCACAATGCAACTACACATCATATGCATTGTGTTTTTTATGGTGTGGGCATAAAAAATGTAATTCTAATGTCACACTAAAACAAACATCATATGCAGTGTTTTGCACAAGGTAAATATCACACAATGTGACTTAAATGTAAAATTGCATAATAGAGAGAGAAAAAAATAGGGAGTCTTTTTAAAACTAAAAGCATCTTTTCAAAAAAAACCAAACAAAAAAATCACTTAGTCATTAGAATAGAATCAAAAAAATAAGAAAATTGTCTCAATAAAATAGGAAATTGAATCTCACAATTAATTGCTTAACTTATTTTCCACAAATAAAGGAAAAGAGCTTTTACGTAAATAAAATATTTACATAGAGCCAAAGTGTATCTGTTCACAAAATATTTATACAAAAAATTTATACTAAGGTATTTTCACACAAATAAGTAATTTATGGTGTACATTTTCACAATTTTTCCATAATAAAACAAAATTTATGGTGTACCTTTTTCACATTTTTATGGTGACCCTCACTTGGGTGTTATTGGCTTACATAGAGGAAAAATTAATAGTTATTTGCTTATATGGAGGATTGGTTATTAATTTTTGTGGGATTCATTTATTTATTTGTCTTTATATTATTAATTGGTAATACTATATCAATATTATTATGTGGTATCACCGTTGTAATGAAATATTTTTCCTTTAAATAGGTCCCTATAACATTGCTCAGTAGTACTTTAATACTATTCAGGTTCGTTTGATTGCCGTATTAAAAAAGAATGAATTGGATAAGGTAATACACTTTAATACAATACAGAGGGATAAAAGACACGATTAAATATGGTATTAAAATAATATTTAATTTTATCTAGTGTTTGATAATACACAGTATAAACGTTGGATAATAATTATTTAATTCAATCGATTATTTAGTTAGAGAATTATTTTATCGTATTAATGTTGAATTAATAAAAATACATTTAATCAGTGTTTGTTACATTGATGACAACTTAATTTTATCACTTTGGGGGTTATAATAGTAAATGTGTAGAATAATACGTTTGAGTTGAATTATAATACCACCTCTCTTGGTATTAAAAGATTTTCATAATACAAATCTATCATACAAAAAATATACGATAAGTATACGATTAATATATGTTTTTAAAATTAATACGGTATCAAATTTGTTTACTAAACAAAGTATTACAATTTACTTTATTCGTTCCTAAATATTGTCATTTTATATAATTTTTTGTGTTCCATAATATCTGTCATTTTATGAAACCAAAGTATAATTAATATTTTTTCTTCCAAATTTACCTTTAACTTTTCAATACATTAGATTAGGTGGAAGTTAAGTGTCTTTCATATTCTTTTCCTTCCCAATACATATTGAATAAGAGTATTTTGGTTTTGTATAATTATTTTTTACTCATATTACAGCTATTTAATAGTTTCTTTAATCTCTGTGCAAAAATCTTAAACGACAGATATTTAAAACGGAGAGAGTAATATTTAATCTTCTCATAATACGTCTATTAAATGAGTCATTCGTGTTTGTATGTCTATTAACGAGCAATGTTATGTACATCAAATGATTTACGATTATCAAATAATTAGTCCCATCATTAATTCAACCACTATTAATGATTTCGCCCACATAATTTTATGCGTCCATTGACAAACAAACAACCATGCTTATCAGTGCAGCTCATTTCCTTTTTAATTTCATAGAAGCTTTGGCACATGAATTGAAATCCGAGCCTGAAGCAGCTTCACAAGGTAAAAATCATAGTTGGACCCTAAACTTCACCTTTAGTTTCAATTTGGTCTCTAAATTTTTAATTAATTTAATTTAATCTTTCAACTATCAAGTTTATCTTAATAAAGTCATTACATCAATTTATATCATTAGATCAATTGGAGACTAGCCCAATTTGATCAATTTCAATGTTGATCTAACGGTGGATATGGACGAAAAGTCTTGATTGAAACAAAATTGATACTTGAGAGACTAAATTAAGACAATTAAAAATTTAGAGATCAAATTAAAATTAAAGATAAAATTCATGGACCAACTATGTTTTTTACCCTTCAAAAAATATGCCCTTAAAATGTAATCACCTGAGATACCCGTAATGCCCTTAAAAAAGACTAATTACCAGAATGATAAAATGGAAATCAAAATAATATAATATCCTATTAACCTTTTTTTTTCCGGATTTCCAAACTAATTAGCACATGAAAGATTTTAAATTTCTCATTTTATACTTTCAAATATAAAATTTTTTACCCCGCACTGTCAATGTATCAAAAAGTATTGTAATGTGATCATTTTCTTAAATGTCGTTATTTTTTCCGTTAAAAGTCAACCTATTGATACTGATGAAAAAAATTAATAAAAAATTATTAAAATGATCATATTATAATAATTTTAATACATTAAAGGTACAATATAAAAAATTTAAACTTTAAGGGCATGTTTGTTTCGAATATAAAATTTATGTGGTATAAGGTTTTATATTCATTCTACTCCAATCTAATAGTATATTATACCCGGTGTTAAACTATAATCACATCCTTCTCCTTATTTGTTTATCACAAATATTATCTGTGTAATACCTACTTAAAAAAGTTAACAGGCTAACCAATATAAAAGATAATTTTAACCTTTAAAAAATTAAAAATTACGACTAGACTTTTATATGAGAATTGTATCGGAGGGCATTTTGGTCTTTTTAGTTTATAATACCTATACCAATAATATAATATCACCCCTAGGTGGTATTCATTAAAACCTTCTATAAGACATTATGACTACTGTTCATAACGGGTCGATATTATAATCCGAAAAATAGTACTAACTATAAAATATCAAATAAACAACGTATAAGATAGATTTCACGTACTATTTTTTTAATAGCACCTCTTTATACCAGTCTAATACTTGCGCCTAAAAGTACAGAATGAGAATTGTGAAACCTTTTGGGCACAAAATAAAATTCGCCGTTGGTAGACGAAACTTGACAAATTAAGCCGGTGGATGCTCTGGGATCACCACCACTTCCTCTTGTTCTCCACCCACTTTGGCCATTTGGTTCAACACACGAAAATACAAAGCAATTCCCTGTTCATTGCCCTCTCTCTCTCTCTCTCTCTCCCTCGTGAACACCAAACCCACTTTTCTCAGATCTTCGATTGTGTCTGCTGTTTCTTTTTACAGAAAACATTCCTTCCAACTCCAAAACCGAAAGCAATGGCTTTGGTAGAAGTGTTTTTGGGTGCGTTTATAACTGTGTTGTTTGAGCGATTGACCTCTCGCGAGTTTTTGAACTTTGCTCGCAGCGAGGGAATTCATACCCAATTGGAGAAATGGAGCGAAGTGTTAATGACAATTCGAGCAGTGCTCAGCGATGCAGAGGCTAAGCAAATAACGGAGAAAGCTGTGAAATTGTGGCTGAATCGTTTCAATGATTTGGCTTACGATTTGGATGACCTACTGGACGAAATTGCCACAGAAGCTTTGGCACATGAATTGAAATCCAAGCCTGAAGCAGCTACCACAAATAAGGTACGGAAATTCATCCCTACTTGTTGTACTAATTTCCCTAGATCAGTTACGCTCAAAATAAAGATGGGTCCCAAGATTGAGAAGATCACTTCTAGATTACAAGATATTGTAAAGCTTAAAGATGATCTGGATTTGAGAGTTACTCGAGAAGCAAGGTCAGGAACGGAGAGGTTGCCAACAACTTCCTTGGTCGATGAGCCCCGTGTTTACGGTCGAGAAAAGGCAAAACAAGAAATACTTGAATTGTTGCTCAAGGATGAAGCAAGTAATGATGAAGCATGCGTCATTCCAATAGGTGGTATGGGTGGTGTGGGCAAGACCACTCTTGCTCAACTTGTCTACAATGATGAGAAGGTTAAGGATTTCTTTGATACGAAAGCATGGGTGTGTGTTTCTGAAGAGTTCGATGTCTTCATGATAACCAAGATTATTTGTCAGGCAGTGACCAATGAAAGGTGTGACTTCAACGACCTCAACATGTTGCAAGTGAGTCTCAAAGAGAAACTTTCTCGAAGAAAATTTCTTATTGTTTTGGATGATGTTTGGAACGAGAAATACGAAGATTGGGATCGCCTTCGTGCTCCTTTTCTAGTTGGGCTACCTGGAAGTAAAATTATTGTTACGACTCGAAATGAAGGTGTTGCACGTTGCATGGGTTCTGTTCCTTCTTACCCTCTGAATGTTTTGGCAGAAGACGATTGTTTGTCTTTGTTGGCTCAACATGCGTTGTGTACAAAAAATTTTGATGACCATCCAAATTTGGAAGCAATTGGCAAGGATATAGTCAAAAAGTGTGGATGTTTGCCTTTGGCAACGAAGACACTAGGAGGCCTTCTGCGTAATATACATAGCCCAGATGAGTGGAAAGCTGTACTGAATAGCAAAATCTGGGAGTTATCCGAGCACAAGAGTGGCATCGTTCCAGCTCTGAGATTAAGCTATCATCATCTCCCGTCTCACTTGAAGCAATTGTTTGCATATTGTGCTATATTTCCGAAAGACTATGTATTTGACAAGGATGAGCTAGTTTTGTTATGGATGGCGGAAGGATTTCTACAACAATCAGAAGAAATGGAAGTGTTAGGTGGCGACTGTTTCATTGAACTATTATCAAGGTCCTTCTTCCAACGTTCAGGTGGTACGGAATCAAAATTTGTGATGCATGACCTTTTGAATGATCTAGCTCAATATGTTGCTGGAGAAACATGTTTTAGGTTGGATGATAATATGAAGGGCAATGAACGGTGTAAGATTTCTGAAAAAGCTCGCCACTCGTCATTCATTCGCCACAAATATGAGGTCTATAAAAGATTTAAGGCATTTCATGAACTTCGGGGTTTGCGGACTTTCTTACCTCTGCCAATTTATAAGTCATCTAGTTGGCAAGGCTTCTATTTAAACAATAATATTTTGGTCAACCTACTACCAAAATTGCGGTGCTTAAGAGTCTTATCTTTGTGTGGATACAAAATAAATGAGTTACCCAACTCGACGGGGGATTTGAAACATCTTCGGTACCTGAATTTATCTCAGACATTGATTACAAGGTTGCCTGAATCAGTGAGTACTCTCTACAATTTACAAACATTATTATTAAAAGATTGCCTCGCCCTTTGTAAGTTACCCTCCAACATAGAAAATTTGGTGAACTTGCGCCATCTTGACATTCGAGATACTCCAAAATTAGAAGAGATGTCCTCAGGGATTGGTAGATTAAAATGTTTGCAAACATTACCAAAGATTCTTATTGGCAAAAATAGTGGATTTGGACTCGGAGATTTGAACAACCTATTGCTTCTGAGAGGGATGCTTTCTATTGTAGGGTTAGAAAATGTTATGGACGTGCAGGATGCAGAGGAGACAAATTTAAGTTGTAAGCAGGATATTAATGAGTTGGAATTTAAATGGAACAGTGACAGTGAAAATTCTCAAAATGAAGGGCTGCAAGTTAGTGTACTTGAAATGCTACGGCCGCATAGAAAACTAAAAAGTCTTAAAATTGAGTTCTACAGGGGCATCACATTTCCTAGTTGGATTGGGGATCCATCATTCTCTAAAACAGTGTATATTAGTCTTCGAGGTTGTACAAAATGCAAGTTTTTACCACCACTTGGCCAGCTACCCTTCCTCAAAGAACTGTACATAGAAGAAATGGATTCTGTAAGAAGCGTGGGTGCAGAGTTCAACTGTGGGGGTAACACTTTGGAGATTCCATTTCCATCACTCGAGATTCTGTCGTTTGGCGAGATGCCAAAATGGGAGGAATGGTCTTGTTCGAATGGTGTTGACTTTAGAGGACTTTTTCCTCGCCTTCGTGAGCTTATTATATGCAATTGTCCTAAACTGGTGAGTGTTCCACTTTTAAGACTTCTCTCTCTTTGCGAGTTAGAGATAAAAAATTGTGATGAGGCTGTGTTGAAAAGTTTTATCGAATTACCCTCATTAACCACATTGAAAATTGAGAATATGTCGGGTCTAACTCATCTGCCGAAGGAGTTCATGAATGTGTTGGTGTCACTTCAATGTCTTAGAATTGTAGGATGTGCCTTGTGGCAGAATGGGCTCGCACCAAAAAACCTTTCCGGTTTGTCAGTAAGTTTTTGTGAAAATCTGGAGAGATTGCCTGATGACCTGAAAAGCCTTACGTCTCTCGAGGAGTTGTATATCTTTTGGTGCCCGAAGTTTGTCTCTTTTCCAGAGAACAGTCTCCCGCCCACGATTAGTCGTCTTGCTGTTAAATTTTGTCATTCTCTGGAGTCCATCCCTAACCGCATCCCTCGTCTTGAAGACTTGACCCTCAATAATTGCTCCTCTCTAAGTTCTTTACCAATAGACACTCTTCTCTCCACGCTTAAGTCAGTTCACATTGAGAATTGCGGGAATTTGGAGTGTGTTAAAGAGACTGTCGAACAGAGCATCATGTCAGGAAGCTTTGGAATCAGTAATTGGCCCAATTTGGGGAGTTTTGAATTATACAGGCAGGAATTTAGATGCCGGTTGAAATATCAAATCCCCTACTCGCTCTCAGGGGGTGGTTTGCTCACTCCCAACTTAGTAACTATTGAAATTGATGGGTTTGAGAATCCCTTTTACTTTCCTAGCCAGAGTCAAAGCTTCACATTCCTTAAATCACTCATTATACGTAATTGTAAAAGCCTTGAGTCCTTTCCTCACCAGAATTTGCCCCCCAACCTAGAAGAGCTATGTATCTGCAATTACGGAGAACTAAAGCCTCTATCAGAGTGGGGCCTGCAAAGACTCTCCTCTCTTAGTTTTTTCACCATGGGTAATGTATATCCAGAGCTACTTTCCTTTCCGGAGTCGTGTTTTCTTCCTGCTACTCTAAAATCCCTTGGTATTTTTCAATTCTGGAATCTAAAGTCTCTCTCTAAGGGGCTCCGAAACTTGACCTCTCTTGAGCGTCTGCTAATCAACAATTGCCCTAAATTTGAGTCTCTCTCTGAGGGGCTCCAAAACTTGACCTCTCTTGAGCATCTGGAAATCAGCGATTGCCCTAAATTTAAGTCTCTCTCTAAGGGGCTCCAAAACCTGACCTCTCTTGAGCGTCTGGAAATCAGCAATTGCCCTAAGTTTGAGTCTCTCTCTGAGGGGCTTCAAAACCTCACCTCTCTTGAGCGTCTGGAAATCGAGAATTGCCCCGAGTTGGGTTCCTTGCCGAACGAAAGGATACTTGACACAATTTTGATCCTGAAAATACTGGGATGCCCACTTCTTGAAGGACGGTATTCCAAGTTGAGTGGAGTAGATTGGCCCAAGATTTCTCACATCCCCAACGTTCAAATTCGTTCTCGCAGGTTCCATTTCTCTCCTTTTTAATCTGCTTGGCTCTGTTTTCAATTTGCTTTATTGGAATTTTACTTTACACCCTACAATATTTATATATTCTCTATTTGTACCCTCAAAGATGATATTCTTCACATTGCATCTTGAATGTATTAAAAGCATTGCAATGTAGTCTTTCTGCTACTAATTTTGTCAATGTTGACATAATAAGCAATGGAAGGTTACAGATGATCACGTTGCAATACATTTAATATATTGAGTACAATATGAAAAATTTAATATTTAAGGGTATAATATGAGAAATCTAATATTTAATTGTGTAAAGTGAAAAATTTTAAATTTTTTGGGGTATAGAGTACAATTCCTCCTAAGTTTTAATCAGGTTCAAGTCTTAAAAAGGGAACTTACACCTGGCACCCAACACTGTTGCTCAAATATCTTTGCAAACTGAATTTATTAAAAATATTACAGTGTTGTCCTTTTGTTGGATCCTGTTACTAATTCCGTCAATTTTAATAGAGTGATTTTTTATATAATAAACAATAGAAACTAACAAAAGGGCCACGTTATAGCATTTTTAATATATTGAGGATACAATATAAAAAATCTAATTTTTGAGGGTATAATATAAAAATCTAATCTTTTAAGTGTACAAAAAGAGAAGTCGTAAATTTCTTTGGGTGCAAAGAACAATTCCCCCTCTGTTTTAATCAGATTTAAGTTTATAAAGAGAAAAAGGAAACTTACACTTAGCACCAAGACTATTGCCCAAATCTCAGTTGCCCCCTCTATAATCAATTTTTTCATATTACCCCATATTAATTGGTTTCACATAGCCCCAAACCCCAGTGACGGTTAACTTATGAATGGAAAATGACTAAATTGCATGACCCTTTATTGCCACCCCTTTCTCCCTACCTACTGTTAATTAGTAGTTACACATTGCTACAAAATTCATTGGCTTGTATGCATTTTCCATCTGAAACAAAACGAACCTTTGGCTTTGGGACTATGTGAAACAAATTCAAGCAATTAAAGGTTTGTTTTTTCCTTCTGAAATGGAAGGAATTAAAGGTTCAATGTGAAAAAAATTTATAGTAGAAGAGACAATGTGAAACTAGGGTCCTAATTTACAAGTGTAATCTATCCAATTGAAAATAAACTAAATACTTATTTTGAAATGTGAGCAACTATCATTCAGTATGCCGCTAAATTCCTTATTTGTATTGGTGTTTACAGATAATGATGAAGCCTGTTGGAAGTGGCAACTTTCTTAAATGCCAACCACCGGTGAGTTCGATTTGAAAAGTGCTTGTTAAATGTTTGCTTGTCATTGTTTTTTCTATTCTCCCGTGTGATACTATTGTCTAGAGTGCTATATATTCCTCTTTGTAATTATACAGGGGCATGTAACTGCCAACTTGATTTGTTTTGCTTTGTGGTAAGTTGCCAACTTCTTCTCGTAATAATTGAATAGTATGAAGTTGAGTTTAGAGATTGTTACTTGAGAACTACATTAGGATTTTGTACACTTGCCCGCTGAAGATTGTAATTTTACTATGCCTTGTGCTTTGTTTAGGTACCGAGTGACTTCACCTTCTTCTTTTTTTGTGATATTTGGATCTATTATTTGTTCATTGTCATTGAAAGAGATTATAAATGTGTAAATAAAAATGTGACAACAACAAAAAATAAGAAAAATTAGAAAAGCAATGCAACAACTAATGTTGTGTAGAAGAATTTACTATTATACTATATAGAGCTGTTGATCTTCCTTAGTCTATTATGGGTGTACTTATCTAACTGACCAAAAAAAAAAAATTCTGTCAAATTGTCAACATATTGTATTGATTTATATCCAAATACTATTTGTCAAGCTAACAGATTCACAAATTCGAATTATTATTAGATATATGTATGAAAAACCTTCAATCACATGCTAATAAATGGATTAGATTGGCATTGAAGCGCAATCTATTCAGACTGAAAACCCAACTTGTGTTACAGTGAACTAAATAATATATGCTGTGTTACAGCACTTTTGTGAATGTAGTTAGGATGCCTATATGCCCATCGTGAGCTTCCCTGTCAAATCATGGTTCTCAGAGTACATTTAATTGTCATCCTTGCAAAGCATCAACACAACATATTGTATCACATTTGTGCGTGTTAGATCTTGCACAATATAAACACAAGAACAGATCTTTTTCTTGGTGAACTCGAATGAGTCAGTCGAGTGGTCAACCCTGCTGCTTGGAACAGCCTGTGAGGTCCGATGGTAACCTGGAACGGTAATGGGAGACCCTCGTGGATCAATAGAATGATCCAGTAAGGCTGAGAAAGGTTCCTGGAACAAAAAAAGACAAGTTAGAAGGGCGCCGGAGTGTTTTCCAGCGTATCCCCTCCGGCGATCAAGTCAGTTTTTGAGAGAGAGGAAGAAGAAAACACTGAATATAATTTGTAGCAAAAAAATTTCGTTGCATACCGTCTTGTCTTTTGCGAGGAATATTTATTCCTCAAAAATTCATGATTATTGTCAGTGTGATCAGTAGGTGATCATTAGGTACAGGCAACGTGTGCACGATTTTCTATGAGGAATATCTTCTCTTTTAACTGCTCGGGACCCCGAGCAACCAAGGCTGTGTCATCGGCCTATCAACTGTTCAATAAGCTCCTCTCGGGAAGGATGTAATAAATGTCCAGCCTTAGAGACATTTATTACCTTTCACTTCCAAGTCTTACCGCATTAAATGTTGTCTCATCAAGGGAATGATATAATTAAATGCTTGCTTTTCCAAGTCGTGTGTCAGCAAGGGCATCCAGTCTTTCTGTCTCTGATGTGACACAATATGCCACGCGTCCATTCCCCATTGGCTATGTCCCCTGCCTTCCTGTGCCTTCTGACACCAATTGTGTAAGACGAGATCATGATAGCTAACCTAGCCTAGCCTAGGCTAGTGACCTGTACATCAATAGCCTCTACAGAAGCAGAGAACGATATCCTAGACGGAGGGTACATCTTGGTACCGAGGGGGGAGGTACATCTCGAAGCCGAGAGGGGAGGTACATATAGTGACCGATGTACCCATATCAGACCGAGGGACACGTGTCGGTACGTAAACGTACTGGATGTCACTTGATCCCTATGACAAGTACCTCGGGGGAGAGGGACTTGTGAGCCGATGGGTACGTGATCTCAGTAACAAGGATTTAATGACACCGAGGACACGTGTCTTCATCTTGGAGTATTTCAAAAATGTCCCATCAACTGCCCCCCAGTCTTCAATTTTCTGACACCGAGGACACGCGTCGTAAGGAGACGAAAGGTTTTACAACAACCCCAACTGCTTCATCATTGCCTCTAGCCGTTTTTTCCTGCTTAGGACGTCGTCCGCATTAAATGCGCCTTTTCGTGCTTCACGCCCAATGATGGGATTGGTACTATATATAAATGGGCTTCCTCTCCTCTTTTCTCATTTCGTCATTCTGAACTTTCTCTAGAGAGCCCTTGCCTGAATCTTCGCCGGAGATCTCTTTCCTTCCGTTGTCAACTGCCCAACCTTTTCACTGAAGTCTTAAGGCCAGCAGACTCATCTTTGCTTCTGAACATTCTGGAAGGATTCGCTTCAAGTTTTCCAAAAAAAAAACTCTTTTTTACATTCTGGTGAGTCCCAGTATCTTTCCTCTCTTTGTCCTTCTGTCTCTTTTGATTTTTCGATAACTGGAGGTGTCCCCGGTTACCACTCAGCGACCAATCCTCGGGAAGCCTCCTTGGAGATCTTTGAGGGAAAAACACCCTCCTTCATTTTTTATCACTTTTTGGAGATGCCTCGTCGTCGCCCTGCCCCCGAGAATCCTCAGGCCAGTTCTTCGGGGTCAGGGAAGTATAAAGTAAAGGGTGGTGAGCAAATTAATAGATTTAGGGTTAAGTACAGCATCCCCCCGTATGTAGACATAGAAGATTATAGCCCGGCTATGCACCCTCGTACCCTCGGTACCGAGGATACAATGCCCTTTTATACCAAAGCCATCATAGAAGGCGGAATTAGGTTCCCTTTGCCCCCTCTACTTCTCCAGTTCCTCTCCTATTTCCACCTCTTCCCCGGGCAGTGTCGTCTTAATGTCTTCAGGATAATTATGGGGGTCCTAGAGCTCAATAGGCGTCTCGGGGTAAATGTTAGGCTGAATGATATCCTTTTTTGTTATTCCCTCTTGAGAGTCATGCCTCAACAACACTTCTACCTCAAAGCCAGGACCCATCTATGTACCTCGTAACTCACCTTCCCGACTCGGACAAGGGGTACAAGGATGACCTACTTATCTTTAAGGGATCTTGGCAGAGAGGTGTCGGTCCCGAGTATAACGGTTTGTTATGCCCTTTAGAATGGAAAATGACAAGTACGTCGGTTCCTTCGGGTCTATTATTTTGTTTTTGAGATTTTTTACGTGTTCATGACTCCTCCTCTCTTTTTGTTTGTATGCAGATGTCCCTGCTCGAGAAACAGCTCCTCCCCCTCGGTCGTTGATGAGCTTTGCCGACCTAGTCACGGTTTGGAGATTTACTGGTGACGACGGGTTCGGCCGGGCTGCCCACATCCTCCTTTATTATACTCCCGGATATAAAAAATTTTCACAGCTTCCCCAGCCTTTCGAACCTTCGCGGTGGTCTGAACTCTTCGATCAGGCGGTGGGGCAAAGAGGGCGAGAAGAATTTGGAGGAAGACCCTGACCGGGCTTCGGAGGCGGAAGTAGAGGGTGAAGTTGAAGAGCTTGGGGTCAGAGAGGACTTGGTTCCTTCGCACGCCGAGGTGGGGACTTCGGGCAGAGATTCGTGGCCGGACTTCCAAATCCTACAATCTCTAGACGCCGAGAACGCCCTCGAGATAGCTATGTCTAGCACGCCCCACATTGATCTCGGGTTCCTGAGGCAGAGGCAAGCCCTTGCTGCCGGGAGAGGACGAGGATCAACCGGTAGGGCCTCATCTACAGGGACCAGCGCCACCTCATCCTCAAGAGTCATTAGTCGGGGTCAAGTGCGTGACCGGGATCCTCAGGTAGAGGAGGAGAGGAGGGTCAAACATAGGCACGACGGCCTTGGCAGGGGATCCAAGGCCCCCTCTGCTCAGCAGCAATGTGGGAGAGGTCGTGGGTTACCTCCTGCTCCTTAGTAACAACAACAATAGCAACAACAACAACAACAGCGGCAACAGCAGCAACAACAGCAACATCGGCAACAACAGACTCCTCCTCCCCTTCCGCAGACAGTGGAAGCCGCGGAGTGGAATCCTCGAGCCACTAATCACATGAACCGAGTGATCAGGGTCGACGACTCCATTTTGCAGGACCCCCATGTCGCCAATGCAGTGAGTGAAATGCTGCATTTCGAGGCCGACATGGTGGCTCACAGGGGGCGATCAACGAACGTGTTGTTTCGCTCTATCATCTAGAATTCCCTGGTGGTAAGTTCATCTTTGCTTCAGTCTTTTTTAGTCGCTTTTCTTTTTAGTGACATGCTCTTTCCTTTGCAGGCCACCCAACAGATTTATATAATAGCGGCGCAGTATCATGGGATTAGGATGGACCTTCAGCGGGTTCGAGAGCAGAAGGAAGAAGCCGAGGGAGCCCTCGCTAGTGCTAAGGAGGACGTAGCTGCCAGGGATTCCACCCTCGCGGGGCAGGCTGCTCAAATCGAGCAACTCCTCAAGGATGCCGAGTTGGCGAAGGTCGGCGCTGAAAAGCTAAGTGCTGCCTTTGCCGACGCTAAGAGGAGGATTACAGAGCAGACGCAGCGGCTCTCTGCGGTAGAGGAGAGGGCTGTTGGTTCAGAGGAAAGCTGTCTGGCTCTGACCTAGGAGCTGGACAGGATCAGGGCTGAGGCACAGAACAGGAAGTCCGAGGAGCAACTCCAAGAAAAGTTCGCCGATGGCGTGCTCCCTGCTCTTGAGGAAAATAGCAAGGAGTTCTTCAAGAAGGGGTGGGACGAGGCGCTCCAGTCTGCTGGGATCCCGTCAGACTCCCCGCTCTTCCAGATGCATAAATACGTGCCCTCGATAGAGATAGAACAGGCCGAAGCCGAGATTGCTGCCGAGGGCGCGATTCCTACGTCGGTGCAAGTTTCGGCTAATCCGCCTGAGGCGGTAATTGTGGATTTGTCTGATGAGGCCCTGCCGGACCGGGCCTCTGACCATAATATTCCTCAGGCTCTCTCTGTTGCCGAAGTACCTCCCACTCTGCCTGCTCCCGAAGATGCTCAACCTTTTTACGTTGATTCGCCCTCGAGCGATATTTTAGAGATGCCCGGGGGCAGATGAAAGCTCTTTTCTTTTCGATTGTACTTTTTTCTCTTGTAGCTCTTGGGGACGCAAAACCCCTCTTTTTGAAATGAAGCCTTTTTGGAGTAATTATACTTTCTTGCGTACATTTTTTTTTTTTGGGCGTAGGAGTCCTTGAACTCTGTCCTCAGGGCCTTACCCTTCCAAGAGACTTGCCCCTGTCTGTGCTTCGGGGGCAGGAGTCCTTGAACTCTATCCCCAAGGCCTTACCCTTCCAAGAGGCTTGTTCCTGTGTTTGTTTCGGGGGCAAGAGTCCATGAACT